AAGTGACACAGATGACATGCTGGCCATATACACATCCTGGATGAAAGTAGGTGCTGGTTAAACACCTTGTGATTCTATTTTCTACATGTTGCGTGTGGCAAGTATGAAGTTGGGAGATGAGAGGTGGCAGCCTGGAATCTACCACTTCCTTCTCTACCCACCTCAGTCACCTGGATAAGAGCCCAGAAAAGTTCAGGATTGGTGAGAGTCTGCTCTGAACACCTTCATGGTATAGTCCTTATATCTCACCGGCTGTGCGTGGCAATGATCAAACCATACCTGGGTCCCACTTGTTCTACTCAGCGTGGAAGATGATTCCTGCCACTCACTTTTTCAGGGAGTTGTGAAACTTGGGCTGGAGAGAGAAAGGAATTGATTTTTGCAGGAAAACAAAATCAGTCCTAAATTCTACCTCAGTGTTTCAGGAACGTCACCTTCCCTCAGAGAAAAGAACTTCAGAAGTTGAATAGTAGAATAAAAGCAGTTTTATTTAGAGCTACGAGAGAATGTGGGCTCATGTGGCACTCAATAGAGAATGCGGGCTAATTCTGAGGAGAGAGCTGAGAATAAGCATGTCGGTGGACATAATAATAAGCAGGCTGTCCCCCTCAAGCACCCCCACCCCACTTGCCTTTGCAGAATTGGGAATTGGTTTTATAGGTTTTTCTCCCAAACTGTCTCCACATGGGATTTTACATATAAATAAGAGTTTGTATAAATAGGACCTTGCAAAGGGGGTGATCTTGAAACTTTTTGAACATCATGTTCTTATATCCTTTTGCCAGTTGGAGCTTCTCTTCTTTGGCGGCTGGGGCCCAGCCTTTTCTGGGCAAGCACTGGCTTCAGTTGGAATTGTACTGGGCTTCAGTTCCTGTGTCCACAAAGTGGATCCAGCCTTAATGTTTTTTGGCTGCTTTAGTGACAGAGTAACTTCTTTGAATCACAACTTGGTATTACTACATCTTGAGAGTTCATTGTCAGACATCCCTCCTCCCCCAATCTCTCTGCCTACTTCATACAGATCCAACTAAGAAATGCAAACCCAGTGAATTCCCACCATTTTTAGGATTAAATAAAGTGAGTTTCTGCTCATAGAGGATACCAACACTTGTGAAATGTTCAGAAATATGTGAGAAAGAGAAGTCTATATGACATATGAGAAGCTTTCAAAGACAACTGAGTTTATTCCTTCCCATCTCATTTTTTTTGGATCAAAATGTTGCCTTCAAGATGTCCAATATTCATATAAAGAGTGTTCATCATCACTGATGATCAAGGAACTGGAAATCAAAATGACAGTGAGGTATCACCTCACACCAGTGAGAATGGTCTCTATTGAAAATCTGAAAACAGTAATGCTGGTGGGGTTGCAGTGAAAAAGGAACTCTAATTTACTGCTAGTAGGACTGTCACATGATTCAGCCTCTTGAAAAATGGATTGGAGACTTTTCCAAAAATTAAAAATAGTATTTCTATGTGACTTTACTTTTCTGCTCCTGGACAGCCACCCCAGTAACACAGAAACATTAGTCCAGAAAAACAAATGCACACCTCTGTTCATTGCTATGTTATTTCCAATAGCCAAGACCTGGAAACAACCCAAATGCTCAACAGTAAATGGGGTGGGTGAAGAAATTGTGGTGTGTGTATATACAGTGGAAAACTACATTGCTTGAAAAAAGATGAAGTCTTGCAGATAGCTACAGCTTGGATGGAATTGAAAGGTGTCAAGCTACGTGAAATGAATCAGAAAAAAAAAGAGAAGATGAATCAGAAAGAAAAAGAGAAGTGTCAGATGATCTCACTCACTCACTCATCTGGAGTATAAAGAAACAAAGCAAGGGATAAGATCATCTCCAATGGAAACAACTGAGGTACATTCCGTGGAACTATGATCTGAGGGAGCTAAGTTAGGGCCTTGGAGAAGGGACCTTGGGATAATAGTGGAGGAATTCTGGCACTGTAGTGCAGGGCCTGGTGTAGCAACACTGCATATATTAAACAATAATCTTGGTTCTATTGTAGAAAATTTATGTAAAAATAAATAACTAAAATATGTTGATCTTTATTTGACTTAGCCAACAATTCCTCCCACTCCTAAATTTTAGCAGCCCTCTCAAAGGCATTTGAACTTGTAATTATTTTAGGCTTTTCTTACAGATACAGAGTCTTTGTTCACTCTCTCTACCCCTGGAGCTGAAGAGACAAAGCAGTTTTTATGAAAATGGGAAAGGTTACGGAAAGAAAGAACTGGAGTTTCTTTATCTTTTTGCCTTCTCATTTTCATCAAGTGTAGGGGAAGTATTTTTCTGAGTTAGGCTTTTTGTCAGAGTGAGGGACACCCTCACTTTTCTGTGTCCTGCGGAAGGCCCTGTCACAAGCAGTGCAGAGAATAACTCTGACCATCCAAGTGCACATGTATAGACTAGCCTGAAGCAGCCCAGACTGAAAAAAAAAAAACAGCATAACATTCCCTCCCAAAGATGTTGCTAAAGATGCAATATTGTTGACTCTGCTTTTTTATTTTTATTTTTTTATTTTATTTATTGTTTTTTGGTTTTTGGGTCACAACTGGCGATGCACAGGGGTTACTCCTGGCTCTGTGCTCAGGAATCACCCATGACAGTGCTCAGGAGACCATATGGGATGCTGGGAATCGAGCCTGTGTTGGCCGCGTGCAAGGCAAACGCCCTACCCGCTGTGCTATCACTCCAGCCCCAACTCTGGTTTTTTAAAGGAAAAAAATTTTTTTGTTTGTTTTTGGGGCCACACTCAGTGAAGCTCAGAGCTTACTCCTGGCTCTGTGCTCAGGTCTCACCTCTAGCGGGCTTGGGAGACTATATGAGGTACTTGGGATCAAACCTAGGTTGGCTACATGCAAGGCAAGTGCTGATCTCTCCAGCCTCTGACTCTGAGGTTTGATAACTGCTCTTGCTATGGGATTTGTTGGTCTTGGTGAGTTTGCATAATAATTTTTTTAAAAAAACAGTCAGAACTCAAGTAAAATATTGTGTACTCATATTGTCTTCAAAATTCACAAAATATGCCCTCAAGAATCACTTTTATTTGATGTGCATGAATAAGCCTGTGGACTGTGGCAAAAAAAAAAAACACTTGCAAAGGAGAAAAAATTAGCTTCAGAAAGATGAAATAACTTGTTTGAGGGCATATAGCTAGTAGGCAGCAAGGCTATTTTGAATTCCAGTTGCTTGTCTGATCATTGCTTTACTTCTCACATTCCGGATTGGTAAAATAAACTACATGTAAGTGGGTAATTGATGGCGGAAATATGAAAGACATTTTAATAGATAATGATTAGTGCCTCTAGACAGTGACTTGGGGAAAGTTCTTCTATAACTGACTGGCATGGTTCTGCCTTCAGGGAGCTATATTTGAAAGAGTTGACACATATATTTACAAACAACGAATGTGCATTAGGTTAAAAAAAAACAGTGCCTCTGCATACTGAGAACCTGGAAATATTCTCTGTAGAAGTCTTATTGAAAGGTATTTTGTGCCCTCTCCTGCCCCCCTCCATAGTAAACAATTTAAGCATTTGCCTATTACATGAGTACAGTCTTGACTCTGTAACCCTGGTTAGACTCCTGGCACTACATATAGGCATATGGTCTCCTCAGCACCATCAGGGATTGCTTCTGAGCACAGAGCCAAGATTAGCCCCTGAGTGTGATCAGGTGTGGCAAAAATTTTATATATATATATAATTTTTATATATATAAAATTTTTGCCACACCCGAGATATATATATATATATATATATATATATATATATATATATATACACACACACACACAATCTCCTCTTTGGAGGTTCTAGCAATGATCCAAGCTAACTTGGTTCACGTGGTGTCAGTGGAGATAGAGAGAACTTGAGAGATTCCATAGAGATTTAGGGGATCAAGCCTGTAGGACTTAGTGACGCTATGCTTGGTAGTGGAGAAGCAGATGAAAGGCCAGTTGCTATGTTCTGGGTGCTCTCACAAGATGGATGATGAAGCTGGTCTCTGGAGTAGTGAATCTTGGAATGGGGTTTGGTTCGAGGGAAAGGCTGATGAAACCAGGTAGGCAGCTTAGCATTTAGCTTGGTTGCTCAGAGGACAAGCTAAATTGAGAATACATTTGTAGGTCAGTGGCATATGTGTGAACATAGGCATGGATGAGTTTTCCCAGAGAGAAAGAGTATCACATCACAGGGTCAGAGCGACAGTACAGCGGGTAGGGCATCTGCCTTGCACGCGGCTGACCAGGGTTCAATCCCTGGCATCCCATATGGTCCACCAAGCACTGCCAGGAGTAATTCCTGCGTGCAGACCCAGGAATAACCCCTGAGCATCGCTGGGCATGACTCAAAAAGCAAGAAAAAAAAAAAAAGAAAGAGTATCAAATTAGAAAGGAAGAATTCAGTGGTGAGAATTTCCAGTGATGAAGTAGAACCTCTTCTACTTATAGGCTCAACAACAGTTTGAGAGGTGTAGGGAAACCAAGAGACACTTGAGTGTCCTGTCACTGAGGTAGGCTCAATTCTAATAGTGGGGGAGTTTCTTTCAGTTGATGTCTGAACCCCGTTTCCCCAACACCACGCCCAAATCAATTATGTGGCAGGCATGCATCTCTAGATCTGAGTTGTCTGTGCTGCGCTGGTACAAGGTATGTGCAATTATTTTCCAGTCCCTATAACAGATTGTGGTTTGTGTGTTTTGCCTCATTTCCTTTCTCCTACATCATTGTACTTTTAGCTGCCTCTGTGTTGGTTGCAAATCTGAGCTCATGTCATCCCACAGAACTAAACACTATCTGGTCTTGGTGTCTCTGTCATTCCCCTCCCAGTGCCCCACTTCTTCTGCCAGCTGGGATCTCTTAATGAGCTAACTGCACACAAGGAAAACTGTTCAATAGGAAAACTGTTTCGCTGGTGAAATGCGTCTGAAACCTCCACTGTTGCAATGTGCTTCCATTCTCTTTCTGGCATTCTCTTGCAGGATGGCTGGAGCTCCGCCCAGTTACTGTTTCGTGGCCTTCCCTCCACGGGCAAAGGATGGGCTGGTGGTATTTGGAAAAAACTCAGCTCGGCCCCGGGATGAAGTGCAGGAGGTTGTATATTTCCCAGCTGCTGATCATGACTCTGATAGCAAAGTGGAGGTAAGTTGGTGTTACCAGTTCTCAACAAACACTTGTGCTGATTTGCCAAGGAGACCTGACTTCCTTTGGGACTACCCGCTTTCTAGCCTGTTAGGTCTGTTGATTCCTCTTTTGATTCAGATTTGTCCATGGCCTTCAAAACAGGCTCACCTAGAGAATTCCATGTTTGTGGTCACAACCTTTATTTCATAGTTACGGATTTGCGTAACTCAAAAGTCAGTCTATGCTCAAGATCAATTCACAGAAGTCCAGTTTTAATCCCTATCTAATTTATTCTCTTATTCTATTCACCTACATTCCCCCCCTCCCAGCCCCATAAGTAACCATGTTTTGGAAGGCTTTTGTTGTTGTTGTTGATCCTTCCATTGAAAAAATTGCACATATATTCTTTTTAATTCCTTTCCACTTTAGATAAATGGTAGCATGATGTATATACATTTTCCCACTTAGTTTTCTTTCACTTAATATTGTGCTAGAGGTTACTTCTTACAGATTTTCAACTCTCATTTAAATCTGTGGAATGCTGTGCTAGGTTTCTGGATATCAGGGTTCTGTTCGAGCTATTACAAAGAGTGATAAAATGAGTAAAATAACCATGTGTGTCTGTCACAGGCTCTGGGTTTGTTTTGTATATTTTTATTGGTGGGAAATTGTCCATTCATTTCTATTTTAATGTTGGTCTTTTCGGGGGGGCCGGGGGTTGAAGCCTAGAAAGGGGTGTTTTCAGTCACAGGATAGATAAAGGTGTCATCTTACTAGATGTTAGGTGATGTGTCATTTGTATGTCCACCTGAACTATGAAAATGCCCACTTCTCTATATTCCCAGAGCATGCTATATAAATTTGTTCTATGGCTATTTTATGTTAATTTCACACTCTGAAATTTTACTAATATTTTTTATTGGTTGCATCAGCTTTTCTCATTGTTTTTCATAGATTATTCAGGCTCCCAAGGTTTCCAGGCTCAGAGGTTTACATTGTTATTTAATAATTGAGGGGGCGATGGAGTGGGGGTGGTGGGAGGGATACTGGGAACACTGGGCACTGGTGGAGGGATGGGTACTTGATCATTGCATTTCTGAAATGTAATCATGAAAGTTTGTAAGTCAGTAACTGTATCTCATGGTGATTCATTAAAAAGTACTTTAAATATAAATAAATGCTGGTGAAAAAGAAAAAAAATTACCTGAGGTAGCTTGAGAGTTCATCTTTATGTTATTTTATTGTTTTGTTTTTGTTTGTTTTGGGGTCATATCTGATGGTGCTCAGGGATTACACTGGTGCTTGAGGACTATGTGGGGTGTTGGGGATCAAATCTGAGTAGGGCTCATGCAAGGCAGTCACCCTACCTGCTGTTCTATCTCTCCAGCCGTCAAACTATCTTACATGATAGCATTGACTTATAAGCACTAGTGGTGATAGTGGGTATCTTTGCTGCTGTTCCTAACCTGAGTTGAAAAACCTCTGCAACTTAGCATTAAATAAGACGCTGGCTTTGAGACTGAGATTCATTTTTATTTCTGCATATTAAAACTGTCTACTAATTCCTTTTTTGGGGTCATACCTAGTGGTGGTCAGCCTTACTCCTGACTCTGGACTCAAAGATCACTCTTGGTGAGCTCAGGGACCTTATGGGGTACCCAGGGATCTAACTCAGGTTGCTCTCTGTACTATCACTCTGGCCTCCCTAATTCCTATTTTGAATGCTTAAGAAAAAATCCCTCAGGATAACAGCTAATGTTTGTTACTGTTCTTTTTATTGATTTATGAAGATTATCTCTTAATGATATTTTCATTGATTTATGAAGATTATCACTCATTTTCCCCCTTTCTACTTTCATGTGGAATTAAACCATTTTTGCATTCATGTAGAATTATACCATTTTTTGCATTCATGGAATAAGAGTTGTGGTTTGGTTATATTTAAGTGTGTGAGTGTGTGTTTAAGTGATGGATGTTTTTTACAGAATAAAGAAAAAAATTGGGTGTTGAAAAATTTCTTTCCATTGTTGCAAGCACTGCTCAGAGGTGTTTTATGCCTTATGAAATAGATTTTTCTGGTGACTGCAAGTTTCAGATGGACATTCATCGATGTTTGTATTATTTTCTCATGTGAATCTTTATTTGACTCAGTCGCTTAAAAGTATCAGTCAGGGGCTGGAGAGATAGCACAGCGGGTAGGGCGTTTGCCTTGCACGCGGCCGACCCAGGTTCGATTCCCAGCATCCCATATGGTTCCCTGAGCACCGCCAGGAGTAACTCCTGAGTGCAGAGCCAGGAGTAACCCCTGTGCATCGCCAGGTGTGACCCAAAAAGCTAAATAAATAAATAAATAAATAAAAGTATCAGTCAGCACCAAGGACTGGAAATGAACAGAGTCACCCGACGTGGCCTTTGCTGTCAGTGGATGGGGCCCTGACAGAATTGCTCCCGTAAGATTTTCACAAGAACCACTTGCCTGTCTTGTGCACTAACATAACCCAGACTCCTACATTTCTCTGGGACTCTTCCTCACACAGACAGAAAAGAGAGCTAGGTTTTTGGGTGCTCATGTAAGGATTTAATTGAGGGCTCATTGACAGATGTCCTTGTCACTGGGATCAGGATGGAGTTTGCTGTTTTGTGTTTTGTCAACCTCCCCTGGCTCTACCTGTCCACTCTGTTTCTTTCTTCTCCTCCAGTTAATCATTTCCATGGAAATAAATCATTTGACTATCATGTGGGTCAACTTGATTTCCCAGGGATCACCACACCCCGTGTCTATGTGTGACTCTTCTCCTTGGAGAGGTGGGCTTGTGCCCCACTGCCCCTGCCATGAATCTTGATGAGGGTTTGTCAAGGCTCTGTCTTGTAGAAGCTGGAGGAGGTTATGCTATGTGATCTCCAGTGCTGGGTCATACAAGGATTCAGCTTCCTTGAGGTCTAACCCAGGCACCAGGCTAGAAAAATAAAACCCAACCTGTGGGCTGAGTCCCCGGGGGATAGCTATAAAGAAGCTCTCAGGTCCCTGGGTGCTGCCAGTGTGGACTGCCAGAGCTGTGAATGAATGGCCTTTCTGAGGAAGTACATGAGGCGTGGACCCTGCTGGAACCTGCCTGCCCTGCCCTGCCCAGGTTCACTAGCCTAGTTCACATACCCGCCCTATCCACTAGCCTAGTAGAGGGTTCTTTCGTGCCACTAAAATTTGGAGTCATTTATTAGCAGTCACAGAAGTCAGAAAAAAAAAATCACATAAAAACTGGAGCGATAGCACAGCGGGTAGGGCGTTTGCCTTGCACGCGGCCAACATGGCCGACCCGAGTTCGATTCCTCCGCCCCTCTCGGAGAGCCCAGCAAGCTACCGAGAGTATTCGATATGCCAGACACAGTAACAACTAAGTCTCCAATGGAGACGTTACTGGGCCCGCTCGAGCAAATCGATGATCAACGGGAGGGCCTTTACCTTTTACCTTTACCTTTACTAAAAACCACTTACTAGTATGTGTGAAATAAGAATTTTAGAAAGGTTCATTTTCTGTCACGGGGAAGATAGACTCTGAGGAACACACTATTTCTTTTCACAGGGTCACTTCAGGAAATTGACTAGATTTTGTTCCCTAAACTACCCTAGGGTATGAGATTCCTTAGATACCAGGAGATTCAATCATGTCCCCTAGCGTAAAGAAGTGCAGTTTGATCCAGTTCAGGGCTAGTCTCTGAGACAGCCCTGACCTCTTTTCAGAGTCATGCACCTCTGTTTTGAATTGCCTTTGCACATGCACATGATGCAGATAAAATAACCTCAGAGGTTAACAAACAAGTTTTTATCTCCATCACATTTGCTCCTTTTCCTCTCTTGGCACCATGGCCATGCAGTTTAAGTCAGCATTTTCCAATCTTTACACCTTCACACCAGCCCCTGTCGAGCATTTAGAACCAAGACTGGAGAATCGTGATTTCCAGCCTTTCGGTACTTGTGGACTGGCACCCGTCTGTGGATGGGTGGTTGAAAAATGCTGTTTTTGAAATTTTCCAATTTATGTTTTGGATTTTGGTCCACACCGCTGATGATCAGGCCTTATCCTGAGCTCTGTGCTCAGGGATCACTCCTAGAGGAGCTCAGGGAACCATATGGGGTGCCAGGAATCAAACTCAGGTCAGCAGCATGCAAGGCAAGCACCCTACTCTCTGTACCATCTCCCTGGCCACGATGAACACCGGTTCCCACGAGTAGTCAGTGGGGATGGGGACAGTGGCTCTTGTCTTGCACCTCTGATGCACAGGAGCCACCGTCAAGAGCCCTGCTGCTGCCTCTTCTGCGTGACCCCGTTCCCCGCTGCTCCAGGTGTTTGTTTCAGGCCCGTCTTCATTTTTCTCGAAGCTTCTTCTCTCACTCCCCTGGTCTCTTCCTGAAGTTTTTTCACTGCAAGGTCACTGGTATGTTCTTTCCAGAACACAACTGACACCTCCTTGTTTCAGGTGAGCTGTATTAATAAGGTGAATCAGGCTGGTTTGCATGCCCTTCAGAACTCTTCCCGGTGGACATCCTGATCATTTCTCTCTTCTTTCAAATGAGTAGACTTTATTTATTTATTTATTGGTTTGGGAGCCACGGTCAGTGATGCTCAGGACTTACTCCTGGCTCTGCACTCAGGGATCACTCCTGGTGTGCTCAGGGGACTGGATGTGGTACCAGGGACCAAACTGCAGGTTGTGTGTATGCAAGGCAAGCATCCCACCCCATGCGCTATCTCTCTGCCCAGACCTTATTTATTAAGAGCACTTTTAGGGTTAGAGAAAAATGCACAGGAAGTAGAGAGCTCCCGGAGAGGTTATCACGCCCACTTTCCTCATCCTACCTCTGTCTTAGCATCTCACACGAATATGTTAAACTTGTTATAGGCGATGAGTCAGTAAATCTTAATACTGTTCACTCAAATTCATGATTTGTAATAGGGTTCACTCTTTGTATTGTATAATCTATGGACTTTGGTAAATGAATAATGATATTTGTTCACCAT